TGTTTATATAAAGAGAATGTACCAGTCTTGTGGAAATACAAGCAATCACATAACAGTAATATGTGCAGTGAATTCCGCATGTCAGCATTTCAGTCCATTAACATAGTACATGTAAAATAACAATAGAAGATAATGTCTAGTGACATGGCCTATAGCACTAAAGCTTGTGATATTGTATCTCACCTTTACAGTGTTAACCTTCTTGTAAACATGTTGTGGGATAGCTATCAAAGTATTACGGAAAGTAGCAGTTATATACCATCATTATTTTGACCATATTTATTAATGTGATCTAAACAGTAATGACTTTCTTCATAGTAAAATCTGCCAGTTTTCACAAAAATGCCCATGTCTGATTTATAGTTGTGAAAACATTCTGCCACTTTCTGTCAGAAAAGGTTGTGAAAATATTATCATTATTATTATTATTATGTTATTATTTATATAGCACCAACAAATTCTGTAACGTGGACGAACAGACATGTAGGTGTAACCAGACAAGTTGAACACACAGGAACAGAGGGGTTGAGGGCCCTTCTCAGTGAGCTTACATGCTAGAGGGAGTGGGGTAAAGTGGCACAAAAGGTAAGGATAGTATTAGACTAATGACAGTTGCAGAAGAGGAATCAGTCAGGAGCTATCAACAGTTTAATTGATATGCTTTTTTGAAGAAGTGGGTTTTTAATGATTTTTTGAAGGAGTGGAGACTGGGTGAGCATCTAACGGAGGAGGGAAGTGAGTTCCACAGGAACGGTGCAGCCCTCGAGTAGTCTTGAAGGCGAGCATCAGAGTTGGGAGTACAGACAGAAGATAGACGTAAGTCTTCATCAGAGCATAAGGGCCTAGACAAGACATATTCATAAATCTACTGTGCCAGTGAAAAAAAATAGAGCATATTTAAAAATGACCATTACAAAAAAACAACAGTTTAGAAAAATCATCAGAATTAATCATTTGAAACAAATATTTTTTAAAAATCACCTACAATGGTTTGATAAACACCCTCCATTGTAAAAACACTCTCAGCTCTTTCTGTTTTCACCCAGACCTGCAGTGTACTCAGGTTCCTGGGAAATTGAAGCAGTTGGATGCTGGAGCCGGACAGGTTTAAGGGGTCAACGATGCCGATGACATATTCCGTTTGAATGGTAATAGCTGGGAGCAGGTTCCAGGCAAACTGATACATGTCAGTGTGGGTCCAGCCGGTGTTTGGGGAACAAACAGACAAAACAACATCTTCAAGTTTCAAGATGGCGGTTTGGTGCAGGTAGCAGGTAAGAGTTTATGATATATAAAATAAAGTCAGCCTTTACAATGAGACATTGAAGGTGAACCGTGTATACACTACAGAAATAGATACCTGATATAAATCTATAATGTTTTATTTGGGGGATACAATGTTTCATTTAATAGATAACGTGTTCTGATACATTCCCACACGACCAATTAAGTTCCCTTTCCTTCCTGTGTAGCATACATTTTCAAAAGTTGTCAGTTATTGATACTAATTATTTTTATTTTGCAGTAATAGTCCAATAATGCGTATGCAAAATAATGATTTATTCTAGTTTATTTTAATGCCTTTTAATTAACGGACTAACAGAAATTTGCAGTGAGGAGCTTACAGAAGTTGGTTCCTTAATCAAATTCAAAGCATTTCTGACCAAAGTGAAACAAGCAAGCTAAGATCGCTGTAATGCATGTTTAAAGGAGTAAAAACTACTATTCCAGGGTGTCGTCAGCCTGCCCTGGAATAGGAGAACAGGGGAAAGAAAGCAAGAGTTAAATGATGGCTCCACATTTATAAAGCACTTCGACTTGGTAAAGTGCTTTATTAGTGAAGAGGAGTATCTTATTTCAATTCCCATTTAAGAAAGTGCCAATTTCTATAAAAAATAAGCATTTTTATAATTCAATTACAAAACACCCTGTTGGTTGTCAGTAGTGATGTCGCGAACCGTTCGTGAACTTCCCGCGAACGGCTCGCCGCGGTTCACCGCGAACTCCAGTCAGCTGACACATCCCGGCCAATCTCCAGCAGACCCTCCCTCCCAGACCCTCCCACCTCCTGGACAGCATCCATGTTGAAGGCAGCTTCGCGACATCACTAGTGGTTCGCGACATCACTAGTTGTCAGACAGTCAGGGAGGTTAGTTTCCTCCTTCTATTAACTCCACTGAGCTAACAAGACTAGATGGCTCACTGTGCTAGAGTCAAGGGCGGATCCAGAGCCTAATCTCGGGTGGGGCACTTATAGTGGGCTGTAGAGGGAATATAGGGGCTGTAAAACAGCAGCTGTTATTGAGAAGTTAAGGGCTAGGGGTTATTGGGGTACAGGGGCAGTAGTGGGGAGATAGCAGCTGTAGTGGGGATAGGGACTGTAGTGGGGGTAAGGACTGTAGTTGGAGGGTTAGGGACTGTAAATGGGGGTTAGGAAATGAACTATGGAGATAGGGGCTGTAGTGAGGGGGAATGGTCACAATCAGGCATTTGGGCTGCAATTTTGGGAGAGGGGCTATAGTGGGAGTTAGGGGCTGTAGTGGGGTGATATGGGCTGAAGTTGGAATGAATGGGGCTGTAGTGTGGAGGATATGGGCTGCAAATAGGAGGACTTTGGTGTGGGATAGGGGCTGTAGTGAGGAGTAAAGGACTGTTGTAGAAGTGCTAAGGACTGTAGTATGGGTGTTAGGGTCTGTAGTGGGGGAATGGAACTGTAGTGGGGGGATAAGAGCTGCATTACGGAGTTATGGACTGTAATGGGGAACAAGAGCTACATTTGTAAGGTAGGGACTGTAGTTGGGGATAGAAGCTACATTTGGAGAGAAGGGACTGTAATGGGGGGAAATGGCTGCCGTAGGGAGTAGAAGCAGCAGTAGGGATAAGGGGCTGTAGTAGGGATAGGGGCTGCAGTGGGGGAATAGGGGCTGCTGTTTGGTTAAAAGGGCTGTAGTAGGGGGCTTAGGGCTGTAGGGCATAGAGACTGCAATGGGGGGGTTAGGGGCTGTAGTAAAAAGTAAGAAGCTTTAGTAGGGGTCAGTGGGGCCCCGGTGCAAAAATTGATCCGTGGCCCCCCCCGTGCTTACTCTGTGTGTGCCGGGACCGCAACACATGGTAGTGGGCATCTGGTCACAGGGGTCGCATTGCTGCGACCCCTGCGACTGCGGTATGTACGCCACTGCATGCAGAAACATACACTTAAAGGACCACTATAGGCACTCAGATCACTTCAGCTCAATGAAGTGGTCTGGGTGCCAGGTCCCTCTAGTTTTAACCCTGCAGCTGAAAACATAACAGTTTCACTGACAGCCGCTAGAGGCGCTTCCGCAATTCTCACTGTGAAAATCACAGTGAGAAGATGCTGGACGTCCATAGGAAAGCATTGAGTAATGCTTTCCTATGGGCGGTTTGAATGCACGCACGGCTGTTGCCGCGCATTTGCATTCGGAGCTGAGAGGCGGATTGAGGCCGTGAGATCCCCAGCGCCAAGGGAGCCCGGTGCTGGAGAAAGGTAAATGTTCAAGGGGTTTAAACCACACACAAACACTCTCATGAACAGACGCATACACACTAGCTAACAGATACACACATTTACTGACAGAGACATACTCAGTTACAGATATACATACACACATACATACTCACTTACAAAACATACATTCTAACTGACAAACACACACTCACTAACAGACACCAAACAGATTCACTAACAGACACACATTAACAGGCACTAACACACTAATACGCTCAGTAACAGACACACACAATATTATTATTATTATTATTATTATTATTATTATTATGTTTTTTATATAGCGCCATCAAATTCTGCAGCGCTTTACAGTGGGTGGATGAACAGACATGTAGTTGTAACCAGACAAGTTGGACACACAGGAACAGAGGGGTTGAGGGCCCTGCTCAATGAGCTTACATGCTAGAGGGAGTGGGGTAAAAATGACACAAAAAGGTAAGGATAGTATTAGACTAGTGACAGTTGCAGAAGAGGAATCAATCAGGCGCTATTAACAGTTTAATTGATATGCTTTTATGAAGAAGTGGGTTTTTAACGATTTTTTAAAGGAGTGGAGACTGGGTGAGCATCTAACGGAGAAGGGAAGCGAGTTCCACAGGAACGGTGCAACCCTCAAGAAATCTTGAAGACGAGCATCAGAGGTGGGAGTACGGACATAAGATAGACGTAAGTCTATCACACTCACTGACACACACACTAACACACACACACTGACCCTCACTAGCATACACAAACTCAACAACAGACACACAAACACACAACTAACACACTCAGTAACAGACACACACACACACTGACACACAAAAATTAACATACACACACTAACACACACATACACACACATACACGCTCATATATATTTTTTAAATTTAATCCCCCAGCCTCCCTACCTTTGGGAGTGCTGAAGGGATTCCCTGGGGTCCAGTGGGATTGCCCGGCGGCCGCACCTGCAGACGGCGAGGTGGCACTGATCCTCCTGTTCAGCTCCCTGGCGCGCCACTTACTGATGCCGGAGCCGGAATGACGTCATATTCCGTCTCTGGCATTAGTGCGGTGCACATCAAGGAGCTGGGCAGAGAGCGCTCAGGGGAGAATGCTCCCTCTCGCCTGCACGCCTGCAGACATCACTGCCAGCCTCAGGTGGCCCTGAGGTGGCCAGCTCCTGGGCCCCCCAGAAGAAGAGGCTGGAAAACTGGCGTATATACCTGGTCGCAGAGCGGCCGTGCCCCCTGGTGGGGCGGGCCTGGGCGACTGCACTATGTACGCCAGTGGTAGGGGTGTTAGAGGCTGTAGTAAAAAGTAAGTAGCTTTAGTAGGGGTATTAGGAGCTGAAGTAAAGGGCAAGGGGATTTAGTAGGGTTGCTAAGGGTTGTAGCAAGAAGTAAGAAGTAAGAGGCTTTAGTAGTGGAGGCTTACCTTGGGTCAGGGAGAGGGGAATCCTTTTCTTTGTTGGTCCAATGGGTGATGTGGGATGACAGCCCCTTCCAGCAACCGCAGGGGAAAGAATCAGAGCAAGGGGTGTAGGGAGGCATTGACAGGGGGTGAAGCCTAAACAGGGGTGGAGCCTGTATTGAGGCCATCATAAGCCCTCTCATCAAGCTGCACTTCTACCTCAGGGGGCATTGCCCCGTTGCCCCTCCTGGATCCGCCACTGACTAGAGAATGCCTGCCATCCCCTACAGGAGCAAGTGAGCCTAAGAGCACACGTCCACAGAGTTATGAGATCTTACATGTTGTCCTGGCTCCTGCTTTCCTCTACCCAGCCACAGCTATCTTCTTGCTGCGTATGCGCGACCTCTTGGAGTAAAATCTGAGGTTTTTCAATGAAAATACTTTGATTAGCCATTTCCCTTGAAAATGGGGAAGGGGGGTTCAAAGGTTGCAGGTATAAGAACTATGTAATATATACACATTATGACTGCAGTGTAAAATATGTACCAAATTAATGAGAATTAATGAGAATTAGGTCCTAAATTATGTCTTTCTGCATGAATTGATATTGAACTGACATGCAGTAATGATTTTCTTAATGTTGTGTTAAAGAGTACCTGTGTGTGTTCATCCTTAATTTATTTGATTGATGGTTTCACCAATGTAAAATGCCTGGTCACAGTTCCTGCATTTAATCCAGGGCCGGCCTTAGGTCATTAGGCTCCCTGTGCAAAAGATCTTCACAGCGCCCCCTCCCCCGGTCATCCCCCTTCATCCTTGTATAGTGTGTGTATTTATAGGGGTGTAGTGTTTGTATAGGGGATTTATTAAATTAATAATTATTTACATACAAATATTGATAATTCCATCCCTGTTGTTACTTTGTTGAGAGAGGTTACAGTCACACACACACACACATGCATATAGTCACGCACACAGGCAGACAGTCACAACCAGTTATAGTCACACAGGTAGACAGTCACACACACAGGCAGACAGTCACGCACACAGGCAGACAATCGCACGCAGGCAGACAATCGCACACAGGCAGACAGTTGCACACACTCACACACAGTTACAGTGACACACAGGCAGAAAATCACAAACAGGCAGTCACACACACAGTTACAGTAACATACAGGCAGACAGTCTCACACACACACACACACACACACACAGTTACAGTAACATACAGGCAGACAGTCACATACACAAACAGTTACATTCACATACAGGCAGACAGTCACACACACAAAAGGTTACAGTCACACACAGGTAGTCACACACACACACACACCAATTACAGACACACACAGGCAGACAGTCACACACACAGTTACAGTCACACACATGGAGACAGTCACACAAATGGAAAGTTACCTCTTTCCTTTATGGGATGGAAGGGAGGAGTGAAGGCAATTGCAGCTCCTGGAGTCTTGTTAGCTGTTTCAGCTATTGGAGTTGTTTAGAGAGCAGGGACTCGTTTCTGCTTCCCTTTTGCTGTGCATGCTTCTGGGTACGTTTAGCTCCATCCCTGCTGCCTGGTAAACCACAGCCCTAACACTAGGTGTCACACTGCCATGGTTTTGTTTTTTTTATAGTCCCGGGTGGATAATAATGAATCCTCCACTCGGGTAGCAGGTGCACACACTTCACACCCAGCCAAGTGTGAGCTGTGTCGGTCGCATGGCACCCCCTGCTGCCATTAAACCCTTTGCGGCTTCACAGTTTGTATACCACTAGGGCCGGTCCTGACTCAATCATTTGTAGAACATCTCAAATGTACAGGAAAACGATACTTCATGTTTTATGTTTTGTTGTTTTTAGTAGCATGTGATTTGTGCAGATATGATGACACTGTTTGCAGTGTGGTTTGTTTCATTGTGTGCAGGGTGTTACCCCATTAATATTCCTAAAACCTCAATCCCACATTGAATCCAGGAAGTATGCACATTTTAAATCATCATTTTTTTTTCATAGGATCCCTTAAACAGGTGGATGCAGGGGGCAGCATATTCCTAGGTGGAGTGAACAACATTGAACTTGTTTATTGCCTGAACCAGGATCTCACTCTTTCCAAGGGGACGACTCTCCCTCTCACTCAAATTGAGGGAAGGCTGAAGTATTATAGCTGTGGTCGTTATGGGTGCTGGGGAGTAAATGCATTTGGTGATTTATTTTATCGACTGAATGTGAGTCCAAATGATTGCAGTGGCAAAGGATGGAGACAGGTGTCAGGGAACATGGTTATGGTGGAAGCTGGTACAGATGGATCACTGTAGGGAGTTAACAGCGTTGGCTTTGTATACAAAAGGTAAACCTTTTAGTAGCATTAATGAAATAGAGAATATGTACAAGAAATATAATTGTGTAGCAATAACTGAACTAATGCACCCAAGTACCTAAGTATTAATCCACTCAGGAGCTTAAATCCATACAGTTAACATATTAGCAAAATTTGATTATTTTTATTTTCAAAACATTATATTTTTTGTAAATATAAAAAAAAAAAAACAGAGGCAATGTATATGCATAACTAGATATGTCATTCCTATATTGTATTATGGGCATGATAGGATAGTTTGTAACTTTAGTGTCCAGTGTCACCTGCAAAGTTAGTCCAGGCAGGCGCTGTAGGAGACTAGGCAAAGATGACTATAAATTGATAATTGTACCTGTTTTTTTCCCACAGAGAAGGAATTTCTTTTTCGAGCCCAGAAGGAACATACTGGTCTATGGTGTATGTACGCGGTGCATTTAAACATGTTTCATATGATAATGGATTTCTATGGCTTCTTAACTCAAGTGGAAGTATCGTCAAATGTAACACCAACTAGTTTGCATGAGCATCAATTAACAGACCAGCTCTCTGTTACTGTTACTGAATCCTTTACTGTCTTCTAGAGATAAGTAAATTCCATGTGATTTCCTCTTTGTTGTGAGTTTTTATTAGCAGTAACCAGAAATATGTCTTCTTCAGTATGTGAGAGATCTCAAACAGAACTCACATTGTAGAACTTTTGAAATGTCTATGATTTTCAAGTTATCAGTATAACATCATTATCAATAAGTGTTTAAAATCAACATCAATACAATGTATGAGCTATGCCCCCCCCACCCCCTCCACACACACACACACCCATGAAAAAGCAAGAAATTAGCCACAAAAAAAGTAATTAACCTAAAGCATGAACCAAACACATGATCTGATAAAATACTAAACCTGACACCGCAGGGATGAATGCATAAATCTGAAGACATTGTCACATAACATGCATCATAGTAACTGTCTGTATATAGATATCTCCCATAGTTATCAGATTTAGAAAAAAATTATTTAAAAAATCATACCATCATATAGAATAGCATAGTTTATAAACAACAACATTATTCTCATAGACTATATCATAAGTGCTATAAGTGTATATTAGCTATAGTGGAAGTTCTGCCATAGATACATTTACAACAGGTAGCAGTGTAATAAAAACGAGGAGTGCGCCACCTAGAGCTATTTATAATTAATTACAGGATGCCAATATTAGAGTGGGAACAAATATCTAAATCTACATACACACTTGTAAAGATACTCCACACACACTCTGGGTGAAAAAAAAACCCTGCTAAAGTGCATTTGATATGTTTTTGTTGTTATAATCATACTATATTTATTCCATATTCACATTTGTTCAGTATTGCAAGTTTTTGCAGTGTTACTCTGCCATCTTAGCACCATGCTTTGTAAAGCAGCTCCTGCATTTCAGTTGCCTCTCTGCTAGCAGGGAGCACATCAGTCCCAGCAGCTGAATCTGGACTTAGGGTGTATGGATCTCTATCCAGGCAGCTGTGGTTATAGCTCCCTACAGTGGTTACAGCTCTGAAGACCTTTTTCTTTTTTTCTGGCACACAACGCAGATGTTGTGTAATGTAATTCCCTTACAATACACAGAAATGTAGATTCCAACCTGGGATTCCTCAGTACAATGTCATGCCCTAACAGTAGTGCCACCACATTGCCACTCTGTCTGGTGTCTGGATTCATACATCCTGAGCTAAGACTTACTGCTTTGCCTTCCCAGACCTAGAGAAAATATGTTCAAAATGTCCCCCCAAAACCCACTTTCCCTGGACAGCACCCCCACATATTAGATATTTCTGGACTCAATTGGCGATGAAAGAGATACCTGCACAGCTAGGGTTGTATAGCCTGGTTCTTGGGAGAAAGTCGCCTGTTTCTCCCACAGAAGCCTCTTAGCCTGTCCCATCTTGGTGTAGCTTAACCGGTCCCCTAGCTGTACAAGGCTAGTAAGGTCAGTCTGGGGGTCTCTCTCTAGTAATTTGGGGAGGGGTAAGCTTTCTGAGTTGTCTGCAGCAGGGGCACACACTGCAGTGACATCCTCCAGTCTTTCCTGGTACTTCTTCAGCATGTTCACATGAAAGGATTGCTGGATCCTTTCATCTGCACAGCTGGCAATGACAGAAGTAGTATCACATATCTGGGCTACTACTTTGTATGGGCCCTGCCAAGATGCTTGCATCTTGTCAGTCTTCACCAGCTTGAGCACTAGGACCTTCTGCCCAACCTAGAAGACACGCTGTAGGGCACCCCGATTGTACCATCTCTTCTGTCTCCCCTGGGCCGCTTGGGGAGATAGCTTGGATCTGAGCGCACATTATTACCGAATGGCGCTCAGATCCTATGCACACAGTTCAATCGCCATGGAACCAAAGTCTTTCACATAGTCTTTCATTATATGAATGGGCTCCATGGCACAGCCATCTGGGATAAGTCTATTCGTGAAAATAAACTACCGAACGGAACGGCTTTCGTATGCTGTAAAAATAGAAGAAGGGAGGACGGCGACTTTCAGCGGTGTTCATGAGAAAGTGTCCGTTTTTAGTTCCATGAAATCATCGATGAACACCGCTGGGCATTTGTATGTCCAAGATGGCCGCTGCCTCGTGGTCGGCATACGAATGACGACCACCCAGTCATTCAACAATTAGGAAGTGTCTGGGTTAACAACAATGTTCTAATGAGGCCAAGATGTTAACCAGCAGCACACTTCCATGCTGGGTGGCCGGCCGTGCGGTGAATAGTTCGGTAAAACAGAAACAAGCGGTCAAGGAAATAGCCAAACAAACAGACGAATGAGGGAGCAATAAAAGTATTTAACAGGCAGCTGGTTCTGTCACAGGCACCATTTAGAGTATACCAGAGGCCAGACTATGTGAGTGGAGTCTGCTTGTTGGATAGAGGGGGTGCTGGGATTTAGTAGAGGGGGGGACTGGGATTTAGTATATGGGTGGAAGACTGGGATTTAGTAGAGGGGGTGCTGTGGTTTAGTAGAGGGGGATTTTTTTTTATACTGTAATCTTCAAAATAAACCTACATTTTTATGAAAATGTAAGTTTTGGTTTTTTTTGCAGCCCACATAAACTTAAACCTTGTTTATTTGGCCCTTGCTAGAATTTGAGTTTGACATGCTTGCTCTAAGCTGCAAGATATCTTAGCAAGAGTGGATATGGCAAGCCAGTATGAGCTAATGGCTTACAGGTTAAGGGGCAAAGAAATTAATTTTAAAAAGGATTGGCAGGGCTGGCAAGAAGAAAGGATAAATTAATTTGATGTTTCAATTGCCTCCCATCCTTGTTTTGGCATTAGCTATATTTTTTCTCTGCCTCCCACTGCTTCTGAAGGCAAAATCTGAATAAGTAAATGATAGAGAATAAGTATATTACCCCCAACATCTGCTGCATGCTGCTTTCTCTCTCTATTTATATTATATTTATATTATATTTCCAACTTTTTCAAACTTGTTTATATAACCGGATTTCCCAAAACTGAGATTGTAAAAAAAGGAAAGGAAGGAAAAAGAGAAGAAAAACGAGGAAAAGAACCACATTGGAAGTGTATATATAATGCATAATACATTGGAGGTGTAAATATGTTATATTGATTAAATATGTTAAATATATTTGTGCAAGGGGCAATTTAGCCGTATATGGAGTAGGTTCAAGTGAGAACGTAGGATAGTATAAACGAGCAAAGTCAGTTGTGGTGTGCCGATACCGACGATACGGTAGGCCTGTAAATAAAGAGGGCAAAAATTTAATAATCGAAGATTTAATACAGTCAACAATTTCATACAATTATCCAGACATTTCTTTAAAAGCCTTTCTTAATTCTTGTGTAGGTTTTGGTATGTAGGTTGTGTAGGCGGATGACTTCCACCGCCCTAATGACTTAATGATATGCACCGGTATGTTTGCGCTGGAAGCTGTGGAAGCCTCCCCTATGCGGAAGGAGTGACCTGAGTAGAGTGAAGGGTTAAGACCTAGCATGGTTAACAGAGATCTGATGTATCGCATGAAAGTTGTAGTAGTGAGTACAGAGCCTTCTAGTGAAAATAGGTGTAGCAATGGCGTTGATGGGGTAGGTGAAAGGTAGGAATCCAGAGCTGTTACTGGACACCATTTGGTGTGTGTAGGAAAATATCTCTCCACAGGAGGTGCGTGTTGGCTTGTTTTTGACTGAGGTAGAGACAGTATGTAGTGATCCATGTGTTTGCGTAGGTGTGTGCGTAGAAGACATCTGTCTTTTTGAGTGGTGGTGATAGTAGTAAATTCCCTTGGCCTGAGGAACCCATAGAATGCTATGTACATGGCAGCTTTGATGACTGCGTTGGTAGTAGATTGGAAAGGTTTGAAGTCTAATAGGTCGGATAATGACTGGAAAAGTGTGTTATCTATAGGTAATCTCTGTGGAAGAGGTGGAGGAACGGATTTCTGAATACCTGTAAGTATATTCTTTACCTGATAAGATGACATGAAACTATATGTATTGGGTTGTGAAGTTAGCATATGATATTGAATGCCTGTCAGATATAATTTGATTGTGTTGTAAGATAAGTGTAAAGTAAGGTGGCAAAAAGAAGCGAAGGCTATAATAGATGTCATGACGAAAGGATGAGTTATGCCGTGGTCGGATAGGAATCTTGTGAAAAGTGTGAAGGCTCTGTTGTATGCTTTGTGAGTGTTGGATGATGGTGCAGGTTTGGACAGAACCCTGTTATGTTGCATGATTATTTCTAGTCCATGGTTAGCCGCTGGAACGGAGGGGCGGCTGTGGCTGTAAGTGCTGCCGACGGGAGTGCTTGCTGAAAAGCCTGAAAGTTGAAACGAGACAGACTGTCAGCTGCTATGTTAGTAATGCCTGGTATATAAAAGCAGACCAAGTAAAAATTGTGACATGCTGCTAACCACGTGAGCTTCCTGAGAAATCTCATAATTGTTAGGGATGATGAACGGCCTTTGTTAATGATGTGACATGTTGCTTGGTTGTCTGTGTGGCAACGGACTGATAAGCCTGACCATAAATGTCCCCACGTCACGGCAGCTGCTACAATGGGATTGTGACGGAACACTGGCACTCCGACTGAGTACCTCCGCCAATCGATGCGCCTGGTGCTTGCTGAGGACTCCAAGAACTCCAACCGACACCATCAGCACTGCAGACCCCAATTCCAGCGATACAACTACGCTGGGGTCTCGCCGTCTCCACCCACCCTGGATCCATGACAGTGGAATGGTAAAAGCCATTCAGTATAACCAATCACAGTATAACCAATCACAGACAATATAACCAATCACAGACAATACAAACAAAACACTCCCACAGTGACATCACAATCCCTGCTCTCTATCCTGGAGATTATTGGGAAGTAATCAAATTATCTCCCAGGACAGAGGCAAGACTCCATTAACCACATGGTTACAAAAAGACATAAAATTACACAATGTTACAATTACTACATAAAACATATACATGCAACATATCCCCAGATAGCTTAGATCTGAGTGCACATTATTACTGAATGGCGCTCAGATCACATACATACAATTCA